AAGAAAAGAGAAGAGAGAAGATAGAGAGAAAATAAAGAGAAGAGAGAAAAAGAAGAAACAGGGTGAAGAGAGAAAAGAGAGAAAGGGGGGAGAGGAGATAAGAGAGAAAGAAAAAGAGAGGAAAGAAGAGGAGAGAGAAAAGGGAAAAGGGGAAGAGAAAGACTGAAAAGAGGAGAGAAAAGAGAAGAGAGAAAGAAAATAAAGAGAGAAAAAGAAGAAAGAGGGTGAAGAGAGAAAAGAGAGGAGAGAGAAAATAGAGAAAGAAAAAGTGAGAGGAGAGAAGAGAAGAGAAAAAAGAGAAGAGAGAAAGAGTGAGAGAGAGAGAGAAAAGAAAAGAGAAAGAAAATAAAGAGAGAAAAAAGAAGAAAGAGGGTGAAGAGAGAAAAGAGAGAGAAAGAGGAGAAAATAGAGAAAGAAAAAGTGAGAGGAGAGAAGAGAAGAGAAAAAAGAGAAGAGAGAAAGAGTGAGAGAGAGGAGAGAAAAGAAAAGAGAAAGAAAATAAAGAGAAGAGAAAAAAGAAGAAAGAGGGTGAAGAGAGAGAAAAGAGAGAGAGGAAAAATAGAAAGAAAAAGTGAGAGGAGAGAAGAGAAGAGAGAAAAGAGAGAAAGAGAGAAAGAGTGAGAGGAGAGAAAAGAAAAGAGAGAGAAAATAAAAAGAGAGAAAAAGAAGAAAGAGGGTGAAGAGAGAGGAGAAGAGAAAAGAGAAGAAAAAGTGAGAGAAGAGGAGAGAGAAAAGGGAATAGAGAGAAAGAGTGAGTGAGTGAGAGAGAGAGAGAGAGAGAGAAGAAAGAGGGAAAGAGAGAGAAAAGGAGAAAGTGCCTCTGGTGGCAACCACAGAAGCGGCTGAACTCATTCCGTGTCGATGGGAGGGGAGGAGGATTCAATAAAAAGGTGGGGGGGGGCTTCTTCCAAGAGGCCAAGCCACCCCAGAGTTCAGAAGATGGGTATTGTAGTCCCCACCCATGCACCTGCCAGGAGCAGCTAACCCACCGGAGACGGGGTGGGGGGGGGGGCTTCAGGAGGGAGGGGGGGCGGCTGGCCCAAAGCAAAGCCTGCCCTTCTCCTCCGCTGCCGGATCAAAAAAAAAAAAAGGGGGGGGAGAAGACCGGCTCTCCGTTACCTCCGCTCCGCCCCGCGTCTTCGGCTCTCTCCGCCCGCAGCCCCGCGTCCCTCCACCCGGACGCTCGCTCGCAAGTCGCGACGCTCGGCTCTTTCCGGAGCCGCTCGGCCGCCCTCGTGCTCCCGCCCGAACGCCGCACGGAGGGTCTTCGCGCCTGCCCGAACGCCGCTCGGCCCCGCCCGGCGAGAAGCCGAAGAGGGAGGAGTTGTTAGCCGAAGGCGCTCGGGCTCCGGGAAAAAAAAAAAAAAGAGAGGCTTCGGGGATTTTCGGCTCCCGGGCTAAAATCCGAGCGGGCGGTAAAGCCTTTTTTTTCCCCCCCTTCTTCCCCTTCTCTCTCTCTCTCTCTCTCTTGGCTGCGGCTGGGAGGCATCCCGTGCAAAAAGCGTCCACGTGCAAATGCTCCAGACACGTGCAAATGCTCCAGGGGCTGGCTGGGATCCAGGCCGACCTTCTGGGTCTCTTTTGGGGGGGGGGGGGGATGCAATAACATTGCCACGAGCTGCCCGTTGCAAAATCTGCAAAACTCTCTTGCAAGAGTTCGCAGCCCTGCAGCCCAACAAATATATATATATTATATATTGGTTTTATTTGTTTCCTCGTACGATTTGATAGCTTATTAGTAACCTCGACTCTCACGAAGGCTTTTATCTTTTTATTCTTGAAGAATGTTTTTTATTCTCCTTATGTACACTGAGAGCCTATGCACCAAAGACAAATTCCTTGTGTGTCCAATCACACTTGGCCAATAAAGAATTCTATTCTATTCTATTCTATTCTATTCTATTCTATTCTATTCTATTCTATTCTATTCTATTCTATTCTATTCTATTCAATGGGAGATTGGACATCTGTTCCTTGCTCTAAGCGCCTGAATAATCAGAGGAAATTCCTTTTAAGATCCAGGCTGAAAGGAGATTTTAGCTCCTTAATGAGATCCAACGGAACACAATTCCTGAATCTGTAATCTTTAGAGATCCCCCCAAAAATATACTGCTCCAAAAAATAAAGGGAACACAAGCAGAAGACACCCGAGATCTGAATGAATGAAATAGCCTTATTAAATACTTCGTTCTTTATATACAGTAATTTATATACTGCTCAAACAACTAAAGGGAACACAAAACTACTTTATGTAACGAACAAAGTATTTAATAAAGCTATTTCATTCATTCAGATCTCAGGTGTCTTCTGCTTGTGTTCCCTTTATTTTTTTGAGCAGTGTATATCTTTTCATTTAACTCAACAGTCCGGATTTGCACCCTCTGAACCTTAAACTTAAAAAATGGTTACAGGTTTCTTGGAGCAAATCAACATCCATCCGTTGTGTCTTAAGGGCAAAGTGTCTTTGCAGCAGGGAAAAAAAAGGAAAGTTCATTAAGGCCGTTTGTGTGAATTGCTTTTGATAGTCTTAAGGCCCAGGGGGATTAGCATATCAAAAACAACTAACTAATCTTTAAAAGCAGCTCCTGTTAAAGGACTTTCTTACCTCCCTATCGTGATCTACAGCAGTTTTATCAGCCTGGGAAGATGGGCATTTCCCCCATTTGAATAGAAATGTGAATTGTGTGGCCAATTCACTTTTTCAGCTTTTAAATTTTAAACTTCGCCACTAAAATTGTGATCCTTTCCCCAGAATGCATAAGCAATGTATTCTCCCACCTCCCCCAAAAAGCCGTTTTTAACAGTTATTCTCAACCACAAACCAGCCAAGCCCTCTATTGTATACCAGCCTAGCCTATGCGGACTACAACCTCAAAGAATTAGGCTAAATAATTCTACTCATATAGAGAGCTTGTGCTCTGACTTGCATTATATTTAATATCTTCCCTCTGGTGATCTGGCTTTTAATTCATGCCCCTTGCTTTTTATTGCTATAGTTAATGGTTTTTATTGCTAGTTATATCATGCCCAGTGACTCCTTTGGGGGGGAAGATGGGCAGTTGTAGAAATCTGACCAATAAATAAAAGGATAAGGTAAGTCCCCTTTTATCTACAGGTAGTCCTCGACCTACGACCACAATTGAGTCCAAAGCGTCTGTTGTTAAGTGAGACTTAACGTTAAAGCGAGTTTTGCCCCACTTTACGACCTTTTTTAATAACCACCGTTATTGAGTGAATCGTTGCAGTTGATAAATTTTGCAACCTGGTGGTTTAGGTGAATCTGGCTTCCTCGTTGGTTTCACTTTTCAAAATTTCATTTTTCACTTGTCAAAAATTTACTGTGGCCAATAAAGAATTCAATTCAATTCATTCAATTCAATTCTGTCGCAAAAGGGGATTGCATGACCTTGGGACACAGCAACGGTCCTTAAGTATGATGCCAAGAATCTGAATATTGATCACAATATAGGGATGTTATCAAGGCTGCAAATATGAAGTTGCTTTTTATAACTTCAAACAGTCATTAAAGAAAACATTGTAAACAGTCATTGTAAGTTGAGGACTATGTGTATTACAGCAAAGTTTCTATCCATTAATAATGATTTTAGGTTAGCATCCTGCGCTCTTCTTTTGCAAAATAAAAGGCCAAATCCACTCCCCACAAGGTCAACCTTCTCCATGGCTCCAGCAGGTGTCAAAAGTGGAATTTCATCCCTGCTGCAGATCTCCAAACCAAAGTTGATAGGATCCATCCTCTTAAGTCTGCCGAGATTCTCAAGTCATCCAAATCATGGTTGTCCCAAAGGTGCTTGTTTTTCAGGAGGCAACTGGACTTTCTGGTTTTTTCTTTTGAAGATGTTTCGCTTCTCATCCAAGAAGCTTCTTCAGCTCTGACAGGATAGTGGGGAATGGAAGGATTTATACCTTACAGACAGCTGGTCATTTGCATTCTTGGAGAGCGTTGTTGAAGCACTTGGATGTGTATCTGTGTCTTCAGGGTCAGGGACCTTCAAAAAGGATGCAAATGTCCCGCTATCTGCAAGGACTGTAACTCCTTCCATTCCCTACCATCCTATCAGAGCTGAAGAAGCTTCTTGGATGAGAAGAGAAACATTCTTCAAAAGAAAAAAAACAGAAAGTCCAGTTGCCTCTCGGGAAAAAAAAAAAAAAGAGCACCTTTGGGACAACCACGACTGAGGGGACTGAGAATCTCCATACACATTTGTCCCAAAGGTGCTTTTTATTTTTTATTTTTTTTTCAGGAAGCCACTGGACTTTCTTGTCTTTTTCTTCGAAGGTCCCCATCCAAAAAAAGGCTGCCAAATGTCCAGCTCCATCTGCCAGGAGGAATTATTCATCAAACCTTTCCATTATTCCCCATGCGAGAACTGAAGAAGCTTCTTGGATGGGGAGGCGAAACGTCTTCAAAAGACAAGAAAAGTCCAGTTGCTTTTTGGGAAAGAAAGAAAAAAAAGGGGGGGGGGAAGCACTTTTGTGAGACGCATCCCATAGGATCCTATTGGGACCCATAGGATCCTATTAGGATCCTATTCTTCTCCCTGGGGAGGGAGGGGGGGTTGCGGGTGTCAAAACAAAGCAACTGGGCCCGATATGCTCCCAAGGCTTTTTGGGGGTCGACCCAGCCTTTCTTCCCCCCGAGGAGGCTCAGCAGCACCGGGGAAACCGTAACCACCGCATCCACCCGGGCTGGCTGGGCAGGGAGAAGGGAAAAAGGCCTCAAAGCAAGCAGCTTCTTGGGCCCGGCCGCCTTTTCGCTCTCTTGGCAGCATGGAGGAGCCAGGCAAGCCCGGGGCTGAGCGGGAAGCCCGAGCCAAGCCCGGGCCCAGCCACGCGTCCGCCTCCGCCGCCCTACCGCGAACAAGGCCGGGCGGGCATCGCTTGCCCAGATGAATCTCCCCTCCTTTCCCTCCTCAGACCTTTCCCGGCTCCCGTGCTCCGGCCTGGTTTTTCCGAGGGAGGCCGAAGACGGCGGTTCTTACCCGGAGTCATGCCGCCCGCTTCGCTCATGGCGCCCGGCTCCATCCTCGCGTCTCACCGGCGGCAGCCCATCCGACAGCACAAAGGAACCGCCTTGCGGAACTCCAGCGGAGACGACGCGGCACCCGGGCGGACGGAATAGAGGAAGCGCACCGACCGGAAGTGGATCGGGGAAACGGTGTTTTGTTGGGGTTTTTTTTCCCCTTCTCCCGCAGACGGAGGGTCCGGGAGACCGCCCAGGAGTCTGGATGGCTTTGTTAGGAAGAAAAGGGGAAAGGGGCTGAGGGGAAGGTCGAGCGGCCGGGCGCGGATCACGGGGCCGGAAGTGAGGTATGGGGGAAGGAGAAACGGACGGACCGTTTAGTTTTTTTTTCAATAGTGCCCGTCGGCGGGCTGTGCTGTGAAGGAAAGGGCCCGAAGTGCTCTGGACGCCCTTGTAAAGAGATCCAGGCTACTGGCTAGGTAAACCGGGTCTCTCTCAGAAAAGCTGCCCGACAGCGCTTAGCCAGATCCCAAAATCGGATTGAAGCGGCGCCGGAAGTGAAGCCTTGCGCGCACCTCTTGAACTTTCGTGCCTCTAAGGCTCTAAGTGACTCTTCCTAAAAGAAAAAGGGCGGAGGCGGCGCCATGGTGCTTAGCGGATGTGACGTCAGAAAAAAATCGGAAGTCGCGATGTTGGGGCCTAGAGAAGTCGCCGAGGCCTGGTCGCCTCAGCAGCCATGGGGCCGGTGTCGCGTTCGCGGAGCCCTCTGGACTCCCCGGGGTCACGTCGGGGACGAGAAAACGGCTCGGCCAGCCCTTCTCCGTCCAGGCACAGCCGCAGCCGCCGGTCTCGCTCTCGGGAGCGCAACGGCTTCCGGCGCCCGCATCACTTCGGTTACCGGCACGACCCGGAGCACTACGGCAAGGAGCAGGAGGAGTCGCTGCGGCAGAGGCGAGTGGCGGCCCGCCCGGTGGTCTGGCTCGGCTTCGGGGGTTGAAAAACCGCGGTTATTCTTGTTTTATGGTTCGCCTCGCTGTCAGCCAGATGTTGACTTTGGGTTTTGGGTCCTTCTGTGATATTTACTATTATTATTATTATTATTATTATTATTATTATTATTATTAAATCTTTGGTGAGATTCACAGCCTTTGAGGCTGGTTAATAGCTCAGCAGCTCGAGTCCTAACCAAGGACCTAGGAACTGTTAAGGTATCGTCGGTTATTATTATTATTATTATTACTACTACTACTATTATTATTTACTTTATTCATTAAACATGAAACTCAGTTAAGTGAACATTCAGAAATGCATCACAAATACCATTGACTGGTGCTAATGGTTGATATTACTATTACTGTTATTTATTATTATATTACTATTATGGTATTACAATTACTATTACTGTCATTACTATTAATAATAATAGTAATATAATAACAACAATAATAATAATAGATAAAGTCAACATCAAGAGCCTTGGTGGCACAGCAGACCAAAGCACTGTTAAGTAGCACCAGCTGCCTGCAATTATTGCGAGTTCAATTCTCACCAGGCTCAAGGTGGACTCAGCCTTCCATCCTTCTGAGGTAGGTAAAATGAGGACCCGGATTGTGGGGGCAATAAGCTAACTTTGTATAAAAAAAGAACACCACTTGGGGGGGCCCGAAAGCCCTACTAAGCAGGTATATACAAAAGTATGAAGGCTATTGCTTAACGCATTGTAAGCCGCCCTGAGTCTCCGGAGAAAGGGCGGCATATAAATCGAACCAATAAATAAATAAATAAATAAATAAACATCTGGCAGACAACTATTAATAGTAATAATAGTAATGATTATAATAAGCATCAAGGACCCCTCAATATTATTATTATTAATCCCCTCCATGGTTACCCTTGTTGGGGTAATAACAGTAAAATAACAATAATACCATGATAGTAATACTAGTAATAAATAATTATTGGTATTATTGCTGCTACTACATTATTATTTATTACATTATTATTTTATTTTACTATTATTACTATTACCTCACAACAAGGGTAACCATGGAGGGGGTTAATAATAATATTGAGTTGTCTTTGGTGCTCTCTGAGCTTGGTTGTTTTCTTGCAAACATTTCATGACCCAAATAGGTAACATCATCAGTGCTAGAAAGGAGTGGAGTTCGCTCTCGTTTTATTAGTCAGAGCAAGGATATAAACAGAGAGCCAACTCCACGCTCTACTAACACTGATGACGTTACCTAGTTGCGTAATGAAAAATCTATAAGAAAACACCCAAGCTCAGAGACCATCCAGGACCCCATAGCTACAAATATTCTCCTCTTTCAATATTATTATTATTGGGCGTGTGATCTTTCATAGCTGCTGGAAGGAAAGGGTGATCGCTCCGTTTGGGAAAAGAAGCAATATTGATCCAAAGATGCAGCAACATATGTTACTGCAGCGAAGGATTTTGTGATCCTTTGTAACTCTTTTGTATGTATTGTATTGTAGGAGTCTATTGATTAATAAAGGGGGAGGGATGTTTGATAACTATAAAACACAAGGCAAATTTTTTAATACATATATTTTTAGTGTGTTTTGAGGTTTTATTGATTTGATCAAATTTTTTGCTCATCTCCCTAAAAGAGGGAGTCTGGACAGGGATCAAATAAAATACTAAAACTCAAAAATAGGATATAAAATTTAAGACGACAATCCTATTGATTTAATTTATCGATTAAAATTCAGTGTTAAAAGTTATTTAAAAGCTGTGCAGACGGTTTTCAGAATGCTAACCAGCCCCAGGAGGATAATTGGGGGAGGATCTGCAGTCCTTTTCTTGAAAATTGGAGGGCTTTTTCCACCATCTTTCTGATTATGTGTTAACATTTAGATTTGAGGTGAAGATGATTTCATTTTCCTGCAGTTCTGACTATAAAAATATATGTTTTTTTTACAGAAGACTAAATGAGAGGGAACGAATAGGCGAACTAGGAGCACCTGAAATCTGGGGACTCTCACCAAAGCTTCCTGAGCCAGAGTAAAACTTGCATTTAATTTAAGTTACATTTGTATTTCACCTTGGGCACTTTAGTTGATAGATCTTTAAGACAATATTCTGCTTTTAAATCTAGCTCTGATGAACATACTCCCGCAGAAGACGAAGATGGATCATCTAAAAAAAGCAGCACCTCCGAGTCCAGTTCAGAAGGTACACTGATGTGTTTAAAATGAAGCTTGACTAATCAGTAATATCTGTGGGGAACTCTTTCTACTTTCAGTTGTAAATGGCATTTCCAAAATTGTCCAAAATAATTGGACAATTATTTTATTAAAAAATAAAAAACGGATAGAGAAAAATTATCACGTGAAGTGTTAATACCACTTTATAATGCCTTGGAAAGGCCACACTTGAATGCTGCATCCAGTTTTTGTTGCCACAATGTAAAAAAGATGTTGAGACTCTAGAAAGAGTGCAGAGAAGAGCAACAAAGAACCTCTAGAACTGGCAATCGGATTATATTTCAGGAGGAAGCACAGAATGAATTGCTTGGAAATTGAGTCAGGGCAACTAGATTTATATAGAATAGAATAGGAACAGGAATAGAACAGGAACAGGAACAGAACAGAACAGAACAGAACAGAACAGAACAGAACAGAACAGAACAGAACAGAACAGAATAGAATAGAATAGAATAGAATAGAATAGAATAGAATAGAATAGAATTTTGTATTGGCCAAGTGTGATTGGACACACAAGGAATTTGTCTTGGTGCATATGCTCTCAGTGTACATAAAAGAAAAGATATGTTCATCAAGAATCATAAAATAAAAATAAATAATAACAACAAAAATAATAATAATGTAAAAATAAATTTATCCATTTTATTAAAAACCCATTCAACTTCCAGATAATTCTGTCTGAATGACTAAGAATCTTCATTGGCATATTAGGATGAATTGTTTATCTGATTATAAAACAGACACTTTTCAAATAATTTTTTTAGAGGAAGAGAAGAAAAGGAAGAAAAAGAAAAAGAAGAAAAAGGCTGCAGCACGTAAGTATCAAATTACATGATACTTGGGAATAACGTTCTTCCTTGATTTGGATTACATACAGAAAAAATATCCACATTTTTTGCTGAAATGAAAAAGGAATATGATGAGTTTGGTTCAGTTGAACGCTTAAGTGTCTTTTTACCATTCTGTTTGGCTCAAAGAATATGACACTTGTACTTTCAAGAGTTTTACTTAATAGAGAAGCAGTATATAGTGCCAGCAATTCTTTATCGTTAAACTAATGGGGAATTAAATATTAAAAAATTATCAGATAGTACAGTATGGAACAGGCATTCAGCCTTGGCAATTTTAAGACTTGTGGACCTCACCTCCTAAAATTCCCTAGCCAGCAGCTCATGTTTACTTACACAGCATGTCCATGTGATTCACTGACTACTGGAACAGTATTAACTGCTCCAGGGCTCCCTCTGCTTTATCAGACCAAGAGAAAGAGATTGATTAAGGTCATCCTATAAGATTCACAACAAGATTAGAGATTTGCATCTTAATCTTTTTCATTCAGTCCTCGTAGTCTGATTACTCCCATTGCTAATTTTTATCTCTCTTGGAAACATAATCAGGTTTTAAGATTTCCTTCTTGTGTCTCCCCCCCCCCCTTTTTTTTTCTTCTTCTTCTATTTAATACTTCAGGTGAGGAGGAGAAAAAAAGAGCCAAGAAGAAGAGAAAGAAGCATAGAAAGTAAGAACCCTTTTTAAAATAATCTGCATGCTTCCTGTATTGAATACTATATAATTCTTCCCTTAACTGCCTAAGGACAAGCCAAAGTCTGTCTTGTTAATGAGATAACTCCTAAAACGTTGGTTTGACTTTCAACTTTTGTTATTGTTTAAAGAAAACCAATTCTTTAAATTGGTTTTCTTTCCTTTCTTGACTCCTTATGAAATTTCAATTTATTCCCTTCAGCTCTTGAATTCTTTCAGTTCTTGAAATTGTTAATATCAGCAGTTAATATTTTGGGGAAAGCTGTAAAGAGAAGGAATGTGGTCTTTTGCTTCAGCCTAATCCCTAAAATTAAGTTCCTTTTAAATATCAGGGTGGTTTACTTCCAAATATCTCCAGGGCTGCACAATTATGAGATTGCAAAACAGAGAAATCACGTTGATTTTGTTTGGGCTCCATGCCACATTACTCGTTCTATACTGGTATTTTTATATTGGTACTGGGGACAAATTCCTTGTGTGTCTAATCACACTTGGCCCAAATAAAGTATTTAGTTCCATTTTTCAGACTTGGCACCTTTAAGATGTGTGGGTTTCTTAACCCTCAGAATTCCCCAGCCATCATGTTAGAAGTCCATTCATCCTAAAATTGCCAATTTTCAAAAAAAAAAAAAAAAAAAAAAAAAAACATTCTACATGAGCAAATAAAATGTAAAATCATATTTATATCAGTTAGAAAGAAAAAAGAATGAAAAACTTGAGATCCTAACTTGCTGTTGCCCATTTGCAGACGGTGCTGTAACCAAAGTATTTTATTCTTGTTGTAATTGTTGGTTTTTCTCTCTCCCTGACAGTGGCCCTCCAAATTGATCCTCTCTCTCTTTTAATGACCAGGAAAAAGAGCAAGAAAAAGAAGAGTAAGAAGAGCAGGAAGGATTCTAGCGACTCGAGCAGCGAAGATTCTGACGAGGGAGCTCTACATGGGGACGATCTCTGGATTGAGAGATCAAGTAGGTGGTTGCCACTGAGGATGGAATAACTAAAATCAAGTGATATGCACCCCTTTGGTTAAGACAGATGCACTCTTAACTCAGAATATTTTAAAACTCAAGCTCGTTTCATTGGGAGATTACTAGCTGCTTTAAGGATATTCTTGTTGTGTTTACATCCTTTTTTTCCAGTCTGGATTGTATTTTTTTATGCTTTTGTCTCGTAAAAGGGGCTTTATCATTACCGTTTATTAATGATGTACAGGACTTAAGACCACAATTGAGCCCACAGTTTTGGTTGCTAAGTCAGACATTTGTTAAGTGGCTCCCATTTTACGACTTTCCTTGCCACAGCTGTTAAGTGATTCACTGCAGTCGATAAGTTAGTAACCCGGTTGTTATTGTACAATGACAATAAAGTTATTATTACTATTATTGGCCTCCCAGAATAACCCCAATCAGCTGTTCCAGGCTGCAGGGATTGCCACAGACCATCGCCGCCTCCGTGCCTCGCATTTTTGGCTACATTTGGTGTATAAGACGCACCCAAATTTTCACCCTTTTAGGTGTGTCTTATACTCCGAAAAATACGGTACATCCTCTTTATATTTTTTCCACAGTCGTCTGGATTGTAATTTTTATGCTTGCTCTTGTAAAACCGGGCTTAATCATGATTGTTTATTAACGATGCATACTGCCTCAGCCTTCATGGGTTTTTTTTTCTCCCCTGTTCATTGCAGAAATCACGGATGCCATTGATTTTATTGGCCCAGAAGCTCCCATCACTCACGCTTCTCAAGACGACCGCCCTTTGAAGTGAGTGCTGTCCTCTGTGGCTGATAACAGACCATGATTGTAGATACAAATCCCACACAGAGGGCGAGCTGCAACACCAGAGAGGGAGAGAGCGAGCAACCCATATTCTTTTCTCTCTTTTTTTGTTCTTACTGTGGTTTACATCGGCATTCTCTTTCTCCCCTGAAGCTACGGTCACGCGTTGCTGCCTGGTGAAGGTGCCGCCATGGCCGAGTACGTCAAGGCGGGCAAGCGGATCCCCAGGAGAGGTGAGATCGGCCTTACCAGCGAAGAAATCGCTTCGTTTGAGAAATCCGGCTATGTTATGAGTGGCAGTAGGTAAGCGACCTGGTTATTTATTAAGTTTGCACTACTATTAATCTTCTCATCGTTCCCATCACCCATCTCCCCCCACTTATGACTATATGACTGTAACCTTGTTGCTGGTATCCTTACGATTTATATTGATATTGTTTCCTGATTGCTTATTTGTAACCTGTGACTATCATTAAGTGTTGTACCTTATGATTCCTGATGAACGTATCTCTTATTTTGTGTACACTGAGAGTATATGCATCAAGACAAATTCCTTGTATGTCCAATCACACTTGGCCAATAAAAAAATTCTATTCTATTCTAAAAATGGCTGCGAGGGCCAAGAGCTAACCTTGCCTTTGATTGGCCTTCCCAAAAGTCCCAGGGCAATATCGGAACAAAGAATACATTGGATCCTACCTCTATTTATACCTCATTGTAGTGAAGAATACTGAATTATATTGGATTGTGTTTCGTCTATTGAATGCCTTTGTTTCTATCCAATCAAAAATGAGGGTTTGACAGTAGCGTTTGGCAATAACATGTCATTCAGGAATTTCAGTCTCTGCATCTATGCTGTAAGCTCCAAGACTTAGAATAACTTTATTGCCACATTGAATGTACGCTAATCGGCATACATTAAAATGAAATTTCGTGGCATACAGCTCTTAAAGGGTCACCAGCTCCAATATACACTACATGAACATGACAAAATAAATACAAAAGTATACATATACACCAGTGGTGGGGTTCAAAAAATTTTACTATCCGTTCTGTGGGTGTGGCTTGATGGGCGTGGCAGGGGAAGGATACTGTAAAATCTCCATTTCCCCCCCACTCCAGGGAAAGGATACTGTAAAATCTCCATTCCCATCCCACTCCAGGGGAAGGATACTTTAAAATCCCCATTTCCTCCCGAGCAGCTGGGACTCAGGAGGCAGAGAATAGATGGGGGTGGGGCCAGAGAGAAGTGGTATTTACCGGTTCTCCGAACTACTCAAAATTTCCGCTGCCGGTTCTCCAGAACCTGTCTGAACCTGCTGAAACCCACCTCTGATATAACATATATATGACTAAGGAGAAATAACACAATCTAGTTCGGCTGTATACATGCACACGGGGAGAAAAACAAATCTTGCCAGTTTTACTTATTACTCTACCACAGTGTTTCACAACCTTGGCAGCTTTGAGATGTGTGGGCTTCAACTCCCAGAATTCCCCAGCCGGTCAGCGAATTCTGGGAGTTGAAGTCTACACACATCTCAAAGTAGCCACCGATGAGAAACTCTGCTCTAGGTGAGATGTCTTTTCCACACCATTCTTACAGTTCCCATACACTGGTGAGATTGGAGGGAATGGAAATGGCTGAAATGTAATGAAAATTCTCTTGTCGCCCGTTGACGCCTTGAGTGTTGGCATTTGACTGATGGGCACCTTCTCTGTCCTTAGGCATCGGCGAATGGAAGCAGTACGTCTGCGGAAAGAGAACCAGATCTACAGCGCGGATGAGAAGAGAGCCCTGGCCTCTTTCAACCAGGAAGAAAGGCGAAAGAGAGAAAACAAGATCCTAGCCAGCTTCCGGGAAATGGTCTACCGAAAAACTAAGGGCAAAGATGAGAAATGAACGACGTGTTCTCCCTACTGATGAGCAAATGGGTGGGGCCCTGACACTGGCTTGTGCTCCAGGAATTTGGGGAAACAGTCCATAGATATCCAGTTTAAGAATCCTAATTGGTCTGGTGAGGCCTTGGAACTAACTTGCAGAGTCTTTTCCAAGTCAGATTTAACCAAAGCGGGCCAATCAGTACCACCATAATGCCAAGAAGCTACTGAGAATACTCTTGCTTCTTTGCGATTGAGAAAGTAGCACTTTAAAAAAAAAAAAAATCAGTTGGAGCAAAAATTTGCATTTATGGGGGTTCAGTGAAAACTGTTTTCTATCGACTTTGACAAAAAGAAAATGTTAAGCCCTGAATGGAACAACAAGATCTCTTATAGGACGAGTGTGTTTTGTGAAAAATGGCCACAACATACCCTGGGTCTAACTCTTTGCACCCAAAAGTCAGAAATAGCTTTAATGTTGACAGTTGCCTTTATAAGCTTCCTGCCTCGAACAGACCCACAAATATGAGCGGATTGTTAAAACAGAGAAAAATTTGTTTAAATCATGATCTTGTTTTCTGGCTCAAACCGTCAAACGTGGGTTGTCTCCTACAGACTCCTTGTAAATAGGAACACAAAATATTCTTTTCATTTTGAGATTTTTTTTTTTGCAGATTTAATACTGTGTTAAGTCTGGCTCTCATCGTTTTGCAAGCAAGAATGCTTTGAAGATCGGTAAATATATTTCCTGCTCGACTAAGTGTAAATAGTTTTTTTTTTTAGCAACATTGAGGAGATGAATATCCATCTGAATAAGTTTTTTAACCCTTTAGTTCCTTCAGTGGCTTTATAGATAAAATATGTGGGTTGGAATTCAAAGTTCATGTACCAACTGCCACGTGTTGGGATCCCTTTTGTAAATTTTGAGTGCACCCTAAACTTTAGAAGCAAAGCTGAAGCCACATTTTGAAACAAGAAAGAAAGGAAATCCCAATGTAAATACACCCCAGTATCAAGGACAACTTTATTGAATGCATTCTGGACATTACTTTCTTGCACAGTTCCAGTATGATACACCACTTCTAAACTGTATTTTTAAAATTAAAATGCCCTCCCTAAGTACAGATGGCTGTGTGTTATTTTTTGAGGTTTGCCAGTTTCTTATTTGTTCAGTAGGTGTCTATCCATCTTTTCTTGGAGCTCGAAGATACGTACAGAGCCCACCGTTCTCCATTGGTATCCTCACAACAGCCACGAGAGGTAGATCCAGGCCGAGAGAATGACAAAGTCACCCTGTGGCTTTCCATAAACTTTAGAGGTGGATTCGAACATGAGTTTTCTCAGACTTAACTTCAACTCTCAAAACTTCTAAACTATAATGAGTCTCAACTCTTTGAAGTCAAAAGATTATTCTTTGAAATACCTTTGAGCAGAAGCTGAATTCTCTCCCCCCCCCATTTTGCTGTCCCCAAATTCAGTCCAGTTGATTTAATACATTTGAGATAGGGACCCGCAATAGATGCTACTCTTGAATCAAAGTCCAATATTCATGAGATCTGTATAAAGAAAAACTTGAAGAATTGAGGTCATGGCTTCTGATGACCAGCTTCTCATCTTGTTTTCACCCACATGAAGTGAAATTTCAAGACTCACATTCCCACACCTTAGGAGGACCTCTGGTTGGTAAAAGTCAGTTTATTTATATTGCATTAAATAAGAATATTCGACTGGTGTAATCTCCCAACTTCTACAAATGTCCAACTTAAAGAGCTTTAAAACTGCTTATCTGTTCAACTTGGTTAAACCCAAAGATGCTTTTCCAAAAGGCAAGTGGACTTTGTTTTTCCTTGAAGACGTTTCGCTTCTCATCCAAGAAGCCGCTTCAGTTCTGCAGTCAGATGGAAGGATTTATATTCCACCATTCAGAACTGAAGAAGCTTCTTGGATGAGAAGCGAAACGTCTTCAAGGAAAAACAATCTTGCTTTTTGAAAAAAAAAGCATGATCTGGATGACTGCAAACCTCCATAAACAATTTAGTTGAAAGTTTTTCTTCCTGCACTTCATCGACATGAATGGCACAAAAGAGATCAAAACAAGGGTTTGATTACGGCAACTCTTGATTTTTATTACCAAAAAATAAAACACAAGCAGGGTACCTATAGAGATTTTAATTTCTTAACCATTCCAGCAAAATTAAAAATCCACAGTCTCCATCATGACCACCTTACTTTCAATTACATCTTTGAGCCACTTCTCCTTAAAGCGAGTTTTTCCTGGCCTGTCAAATAGAAAACAGCCCTCAGTATTTTACGCTCACATTTTTTGTTTTATCCAAAAGGTTACCTAATACAAATAACTCTTAGGGTAAAGTGGGAACTGTTAGGAATTGACTTTTACCTAACTTGTTGGGTTGGCAACATGCAATATAAACCATCAATGTAGCTTTAAGACTGCTGTATTGCATCATACTGTGTCCTGATTGGTTAGCTCTGTAGCCAATCTCCTTAAGAGGGAGCTAGAAACATGGTTTGTTTTCTTTGCTGTTCTTGCTCTCTGATATCTCTGTATGCTACTGTTTGCAAATCAGGAAGAACTGTTTATTGTGAATAACTACAACGACTGGTAAGAAGACTTCGTTATTGGATTATCCCTGGACTGTCGTTTTGGCTATCTCCTGCTTTATATGTGTATGACCTGGAGTGTTTATTGGACTGTGCCTTACTATTTCCTGAAAGTAAACACAACTCAGTGTGTTGACTGTGTTTATTTGTAACTACTCTCAATCGTTTTCATGTGCACACCTTTGCTACTCTGCAAATTCCTTAACAGGAACTGAGACCTTTAAACCAGTTGATCAGGGTGTGGGGTATGAACATACCTGTGAATGAGCTTATTGGTTTCCACTACAAAAAATACTTCAATTGGCAGCGACTGTATCAGATAGAAAACCAAAAGTTAGTTTTATGATCGGTAGTGGCCTACCTACTTAATGGTTCTCATGAACGTGAAGACGTTCCAGGAAAAAAATATATATAGCAAGTATTCCGAAGAATTAAACCTAACGATAACATTCAGCTATCTTAACAGGAATCCCAGATAGAATTCCATTAAATTAGAACTCTTGTACCCATCGTCCAATCCTCCCGAATTTCTAAATTTACAGTTCGCTGGTTCCTTCCAAGTTTTCTCATTTCGCTTCCCAAATGAGTTTTGGGGGAACGGGCAGCTAAGTCGAGTTATGATTATAAAATATATAAATGGCTGTCAAGCACCAGGGAAACCAGGAGATTCAGGCAGTTCAAACGAATATGAAGATTTATTGCAAGCTTAAGTTCGCTACAAGAATCTGACCAACTAACAGTCAAGGGAAATGAGCAGGGGATAAGAGAGGCATTCAAGCTGGGCTGGACTTAGCTCTCTTGCGGGCACGCAGGGACTTGTGACTTATGACACGTTTGACCCCTCCTTACAGCTCAGCCTGTTCATCTACAATGGGTAAGTCTTCTGGATGCTAACAGACTATATTTTATGTATATTAGTTACACCTAAAATCAATAGCGAGCATTTCCTTCTTAAGCAAAGACGCAACCATCGAGAAAAAGCCAGTTTTTCCTCTTGAATAATTTTTTTTTTAAAAAAATGGAGCTCATCTCCATTTCAAAGCCGAAGAGCCAGCCCTGTCCAAAGACGTCTCCATGGTCATGTGGCCGGCATGACTCAACGCCAAAGGCGCACGGAACGCTGTTCCCTTCCCACCAAAGGTGGCCCCTATTTTTCTACTTGCATTTTTTACGTGCTTTCAAACTGCTAGGTTGGCAGAAGCTTGGACAAGTAACGGGAGCTCAGGGATTCGAACCGCTGAACTGCCGACCTTTCGATTGACAAGCTCAGCGTCTTAGCCACTGAGCCACCGCGTCCCCTACCTGTACAGAAGGCCAATCGTTTCCCTTCTCTGTGTGTGATCAGATTCTGAGAAGCTACTGATAACAACAGATCAAAAGAGAATATTTGTAGCTCTGGAGGGATTGCTGGTAGTCTCCAAGCCTGGTGGTTTTCTTGCAGAAGTTTCATTACCGTTACGTTCCTAAAAAGGGTGTGGGGTTTAGTCACACAGTTTCTATCCTAGCAGCTTGCTCTGTCTGTGTTGGTGGGAGCGGTCTTGGTGGAACCATCATTCGTGGGTTTTAGAGAACATCCCTAACATAATTTCATCACAATTGGGCTTCATGATCTCCCAAGAGGACCTCAAAATACTCACTCTGGGTTTGATTTTGGAAATCTCAATGACGAAATAGACACAGGCCGTGGCTCGAGGGATGGGCTTCCTGCATGTCGGGATGCTCCAGCGGACTCGGTAATAGTACCGGGTGCTATACTGGAGTTCCTCGTTGTTGAGATAGTTGCTCCAGTGTAGCCAACTTTCGTGAAGCTCCCATGTCTGCAAGGATAAATATACTGCAAATCAGAGAGCAGTCCCGTTACAAGCATCTCTTTGAAAAAAAGCAGGCTGTTTTATTTTGTTTTACTATTCTGGAGCTTAGGTAAAGGTAAAGGTAGTCGTTCCCAACTCTAGGGGGCGGTGCTCACCTCCGTTTCAAAGCCGAAGAGCCAGCACTGTCCGAAGACGTCTCCGTGGTCATGTGGCTGGCATGACTCAATGCCAAAGGCGCATGGAACGCTGGTACCTTCCCACCAAAGGTGGTCCCTATTTTTCTACTGGCATTTTTTTACTTGCTTTCGAACTGCTAGGTTGGCAGAAGCTGGGACAAGTAACAGGAGCTCACCCCATTACGCGGCACTAGGGATTCGAACCTCTGAACCGCCAACCTTTCGATCGACAAGCTCAGCATCTTAGCCACTGAGCCACCACGTCCCTCTTTTTAAGGATAGAAATTGTTGAAAGATGTGCTTTATGGTGTAAAAAAAAACTTCAAGACATGGCCATGACAGCGCAATGAAAGCATGGCGTTTGAGGTGCGAAAAAGATGTTGCGGATAAAACCAGGCACCGCTTCAATTGCATCATTTATGACCATGCCCTGAGGACACTCCTTCTATGCTGAAGATCGGTGCCTCCATAAGAATTCCAGTTCTTGGGAATTTTCTCCCCCCACCCCCCCCAGCTCCTAGGAGGAAGTTAGGTTTAGGAGCCTATTGACGTTGGCCAAATGAGCATGGCAAAAAAGTTATCAGAAGCTGCTCCAGGTCAGTTAGTTTTTAAATTGTGTGATGCTACCTTTCGATCGACAAGCTCAGCGTCTTAGCCACTGAGCCACCGCATCCCATTCTGGATTTACAGGTAGCCTTTAACAGAATAAAAAAATAACAGAATGAGTTGGGAGGGACCTTGGAGGTCTTCTAGTCCAACCCTCTCTATGCATTTCACTCTTAAAATAAGATTTGTCTCGTTACTTAAATGATGGAGAAATGAATAAAAAGGAAAGGTGGGGGGCGGGGAAGGGATTGACAAAGATATTAACTTGAAATATATTGGTAGTTATACCCAAAGGTGCTTTTTTCAGGAGGCAACGGGACTTCCTTGTTTTTTTCTTTGGAAGACGTTTTGCTTCTCATCCAAGAAGCTTCTTCAGCTCTGACAGGATGGAAGTGGGGAATGGAAGTCAAAGCTGAAGAAGCTTCTTGGATGATCAGCTGGGACTCGGGAGGCAGAGAATAAATGGGGGCGGGGCCAGCCAGAGGTGGTATTTACCGGTTCTCCGAACTACTCAAAACGTCCGCTACCGGTTCTCCAGAACTGTTGTGACCTCAGCTTCCTGAGTCATTAAAACACATTAAGTCCCAAAAACCTCTTTTATTGCAACAGCTGTGAATTACGCTCATTCACAGCTGAGTCCCAATTAGCTGCAAAAAGTCCTTCGGGAAAAATCCTTTGGGATAATCACCAACCTTTATCTCCCTTGACACGCTGCCAAAGATTTACTTGGCAAAGCCACATGGAGTCCAGAATCAAATAGAGATGTCGACTTGGAACAGAATTAATAAAGTTGCTTTCCTGCAAAGGGCCCACATGCCTTTGCTCCTCTTTTAAGCCTTATGGCAGGGGCCAATCATCTCCAGGCCTTACTCCCGAGTCGTCCCTTTTAACTGTTCTTGCCTTCTGGCAGCTCTGCGCATGCGCGCACTAGGTACAGGCTCCTCCTGTTTCTCTGCCTCTCTGATGTCTGACTCTGGAAGCTCCGGAGTCCATGCATAATTCCCAGATGGCCCAGGCCCCATCTCTGCCTCCGATGCACAGCCCTCATCCGAGCCTTCCCCAGACTCCAGGCCCATGTTCCTCTCCAGCCTCCTCACTGTCTGACTCCGCTGCCAGCTCCGCAGGCTGCTGGCGGACCACAACAAGAACTGGTCAGAACCTGCTGAAACCCACCTCTGACCTAGATGACTGATGAACTCCATAGACATTGAACATGCAACTTACTTTCATATAGTCCTCAATCTGCAACAGACCTTTTCCAATGGAGAAATCTGTGCACCTCATCCAAGCAATATTTCGTATTTTGTATATGGCACCTAAAGTTGATGAGAAGAATACAAATCAGAGCCTAATCGAAGTCGGACACCAAAGCCCTGACACCTTCACGTCCACCTTGGAGTTACCTGCCTCTTCCTTCTTCAGGGCTATGACTTTGTCCACGGCATCTTTAATCACCCCACCAACAATCGAGGCTGCTGCCTCCTGAATGTCTTCCTCCTTTTCCTTCTCCTCTTCCTCCTCTTCCCTAATCGCTATGTATTTCTCATCCAACGACATGGTCCTTTATGTCTTCAGCTTGTAGAAGATGGGGTTGTAGGGGGGAGAAAGAGATTGGACAGAATCTAAAGAAACAGTCTGGGAAAAAGTTATATCTGGGTTGTAGGCAAATCCTTGACCCGTGTGCCTGATTCAACTCTAATGCACATCACAGGAGATCATCTAATAAAAGCTTAGGTCAGGGGTCAACAACTTGCAGCTCTGGAGCCGCATGTGGCTCTTTCACCCCTCTGCTGCGGCTCCCTGTCACTCAAAATATGCATTGCAACCGCCAATATGTGACATCCGCCGGCACACAATTTATTGAGCTTTTCAACCCCCAGTAGGCCAACCATGGATAAATCCAAGAAAAGAAAAGTTTCAGAAGAAAACAATGTTTAATTCAACTACATATGCTAGTTTTGTGGCTGCTCAAGAAATAGTCAGGCACGGGAAGGGTTTTGTGGCTCCCGGTGTTTTCTTTTCTGTGGGAAACGGGTCCAAATGGCTCTTTGAGTGCTTAAGGTTGCAGACCCCTAGCTTAGGTGATGACACATCTGGTAGTTTGTAAGGTAACAGAAGACCTTCTGACCTTTTGGAAAGCTAACTTAGCTGCTAGTAGTCTAATTAGGGTAATTACAATTAATTAGTCTCATGGGTCTAATTCTTCCTAATTATGGGAATTATAGTAACAGCACTTAGACTTACATACAGCTTCATAATGCTTTACAGTCCTTTGCAATGCCCACCAAGCAATGCCCACAGAACCGGTAGTAAAAAAAATTGAATTTCACCACTGGGTCAACCTATTCTGCAAAGTACCTGAAGGCAGGACAAGAAGCAATGGATGGAAACTAATCAAGGAGAGAAGCAACCTAGAACTAAGGAGAAATTTCCTGACAGTGAGAACAATTAACCAGTGGAACAACTTGCCTCCTTAAGTTGTGGGTGCTCCAACGTGGAAGTTTTTAAGAAGGGACTGGACAACCATTTGTCTGAAATGGTACAGGGTTTCCTGCTTGAGCAGGGGGTTGGACTAGAAGACCTCCAAGGTCCCTTCCAACTCTTGTCATTTTGCATGCAAGTCACGTCTTGTATCACTCTTCCATACTTCCTACATGACAGCAGTGCTGCAAATAAACCCACCCCTTCCTTATTCCCTCCCACCTTCCATCTTGCAATACGTGCCTGGCCACTTTTTGCGTTGTCCTTGAGAAATATCCCGCGTGGAAGGAAAATGCAACATGTGAATGTTGTATTCCTACAGTAGACCTCCCTATTTCCTGCTTTGTTCCACCACTATGAAAAAAGCAAGCCGCTGTTTGTAAGAAATTACTCAGGAACGTCAAAAGAATGTGGCAGCCAGCCAAGGGGCTTTGGAATTTGGCTACCTGCTAAAAAAAAATATACACTTTCTGGTTGCTTTGCTCATGTGGCAAAACCAAGCCTTCTTTTTCTCTGGGATGCAAGTTTTTGCAAGTTTCCGGCTACGGACTTGCAAAGTGTTTGCTCACAAGCATCACTTAGGCAACCAATGTCCAGCCAATAATTCCGTGGCATTGATGTTCAAGACATTCCATCAGGCTTAAAGGAAAAGTGCCAGGAGCTCTTTGGGATCGATCATGCGTGTGTCTTCTGCCCCAGCTCTGGATTCCTGAGGATATTGACACACACCAACGGTCCTTATTAAATTTATAAAGTAGCAAGAATAAACCAAAGTCCGGCAAAGGTTGGCAACCAGCCCAGAAAGCAAGATAAGACTTTTCCAAAAATGCTCTGTTGATAATTACAAGTTGTTTCTAGCAAGAAACTTACTAACGGCGTGTGACTTAAACAGGCTAAGGGAGTGGCCAATTATCCTCAAGCCTTACACTCGAGGAGACCTCCTCATCCTGAGTAGCCACTCCTGCCTTTTGGCAGCCCTGCATGCTCGAGCATTGAGACGAGGCTCCTCCACTTCGCTCTCTCCACTGGAAGGAGCCTCTGGAGGTTCTGAAGGCCCTGGCTGAGTCTCTGCCTCTGGCACCACATCCTCTTCAGCCTCCTCGCTGTCCGACGCGAGCGCCGGCTGCGCAGGCTGCTGGCGTGACACCACACCAGCCTCCTCATCGTCGGGATCAGCCACAATCCGCGCAGGCCGCTGGCGGGCCACAACAGTGTGGGAATGTTCAATAGACGAGATTTAAGTGATGAATGAGGGTTGTGTTTTCCACAAGACCGAGCCAGCAGCCCCCCTTGGGGCTTTCTCAACCTTCTGATAAAAATCAGGGAACATTCGACAACGGAAACTGTTTGGATGCTTTGAGTTGCTCCTAGTTCTAGCTGCAAAATGTGTGGGGTTATTTCCCTATTTCCTAGGGGTTTTCATATTCTGTATGAATATTCCATATGTACAGTATAGAACGCTTTGGCCTTCAAATCTTCCGATGAGTGGATGGCCCTATTTTTCAGACTGGGGTGAATGAAATTCAGTATGTATCCATGTGGATGCAGTGGCTCAGTGGCTAAGATGCTGAGCTTGTCGATCGAAAGGTTGGCAGTTCAGCAGTTCGAATCCCTAGTGCCGCATAACGGGGTGAGCTCCCGTTCCTTGTCCCAGCTTCTGCCAACCTAGCAGTTCGAAAGTACGTAAAAAAGGCAAGTAGAAAAATAGGGACCATCTCTGGTGGGAAGGTAACAGCGTTCCGTGCGCCTTTGGCGTTGAGTCATGGCGGCCACATGACCACAGAGACGTCTTTGGACAGCGCTGGCTCTCTGGCTTTGAAATGGAGATGAGCACCGCCCCCTAGAGTCGGGAACGGCTAGCACATATGTGCGAGGGAAACCTTTACCTTTACCTTATCCATGTGGATACCGACCAACTGTTCCCTGAGTTGTCTCTAAGGAGAAATTTCCTGACAGTGAGAACAATTATTCAAGGAAACAGCTTGCCTTCAGAAGTTGTGGGCGCTCCATCACTGTAAGTTTTTAAGAAGCGATTGGACAGCTATTTATCTGAAATGTTGTAGGGGCCCCTGATTGGGGTTGGACTAGAAGACATCCAAGATCCCTTCCAACTCTGTTATTCTGCTATTTATATACTGTCTTTGTTGGATTTGGCAACAGGATGATCTGCTGTATCTCTCGTCTCCTCAGAGATCTTCCAACAATAGAAGGGAAGTGGAGAAAAAAAAGTCTTAGGACAAATTGAAAGATAAAGCCAAAGATGTTTTTTCAAGAGGCAATTGGACTTTCTGGGTTTTTTTCTTTGAAGACGTTTCGCTTCTCATCCAAGAAGCTTCTTCAGCTTTGAAGAAGCTCCTTGGATGAGAAGCAAAACGTCTTAAAAAAAAGCCAGAAAATCCAGTTGCCTCTTGAAAAAAGCATTTTTGGGACAACCACGACCTGGATGACTGAGAATCTCCATCGATAAAGAGTTTTGTGGGATGGGCTGACGATGAAGGAAAAGTATAACCCAATAAATATGGAAGTCATCAGATTCTCAAGAAAGTAGCTAGCAAGTTCTTTTCTGTATGAAAGGACATATCTCGCGTCAAATCCGAGAATAAGATCTTACCTCGGAAATTTTGGGAAATACAATGCCGTCTCTTTTTCCAGACCATTCTCTGGTCAATTAAATGTAGGGACTTGTACATTTTATTGGAGGTGTGTTGTTTAATTTTGTATATTTGTGTTGGCTGTTTTCTTGTACGTTGCCCTGAGTCACATTGAATAGGACAGCCATAAAAATAATTTAAAAAATAGAAAATTCATTTACCACCACCCCTTGCCTCTTCTGACAGGAAATCCAACTTTCAGATTTAATCGATTTCCAAGCTTAAATTTGTTTTATACTGGTTGGCTCAAATTGTCTTTAGGAGACAAGCCAGATTTAAACAATGTGACTATTTCCACAGTTTTGTTAAAAGCCATATCTCCTATAATTTCTAGCTGAAACACTGCATGAATCTACACCCCTCAGTTAATCTACTAGTGATTTTTTTTTTACATCTTAGTTTATTCAGCTATATCTCCTATTAACACAGTGCATGAATCACACTAAGCTATAGTGGCAATTTTTAAAATTATGAATTACATTGATAAGTGAAATAAAAATCTACTTTTGTCCACCGATAACATATATTGCATCTGGGAAAACCATCGCCTTGCTTAAGTCTAAATTTATATTTACATTTATTTATTGACTAGCCCACATCAAAGTGCAGAGTTCCAGAAACTAATTATTACTAAAATTGGATAAAAAGCCATTTAAAATGGAATTGGAATAAAATACAAATTTAAGTCTAGATAAAAACTCAAGAGATCTTCTCAGCAAACAGAGGCATGTGAGTTTTTCATCCCTCATGGGTAGAAAATGAATCTGTTCTGGAATTAAATGACTCACCCAAAACTTTTTTTTTTTCCTCTCCCCTTTTTAAAGCTTTCTTTCTGAGCTTGGAGAATTCATACTTGCTTTTGGAGGCAAGAGATTAAGCAAGCCTCCCCCCCCCTCACTACACATGGCTTGTTGGAATCACTTCTGGGTGGCTGTTATTGCTTTCTGGACAATACTCTGTTCAAATCACGCCTTTCCAGATGGAGCCCCCGAATCTGCCTGTGAGAATATGTTGCCTGTCCATATTGGGGTACAGGCTCAAATGGTTCCTAGTCCTTATGAAGTTTCGGTTAGTACTCCTTCCTTCCAAAATAGACAGCTGGTTAATGGTAAGTTTTTATTTTGTTTATTTCAATGGAAAGGAAGGTACTGTTAAAGCCGCTAGACTCTAAATCTTCCTTTTCTCTCTCTCTCTCTCTCTCTCTCCTCTTTTCCAAGTAGAGTTAATAAGTCCTTATGTTTTCTCAGCATCAGTAACAACTGGGTTGTTATGTTAGCAACAATCAGCAGTAGCTGAATTTTGGACAATCTCAGAAGCACTAAACTGAGCCAGATTAGATGAGATTATCATCAAGAAATGTCAGGATTGTAGGCAGGGGTGAAATCCAGCAGGTTCTGACAGGTTCTGGAGAACTGGTAGCGGAAATTTTGAGTAGATCGGAGAACTGGCAAATACCACCTCTGGCTGGCCCCAGAGTGGGATGGGAATGGAGATTTTGCAGTATCCTTCCACTGGAGTGGGGAGGGAATGGAGATTTTGCAATATCCATCCTCTGGAATTGGGTGGGAATGGAGATTTTGCAGTATCCTTCCCCTGCCATGCCCACCAAGCCACGCCCACAGAACAGGTAGGGGAAAATTTTAGATTTCACTCCAGATTGTAGGCGATGAGAAGTGGATAAATTCCCGGAAACAAAATATAATAATCTACTTCCACATTATTGCTAAAAAACCCCGAAAGGCATGTTTCATTGAAGTCAGCAGTTGTCTTGATCATCCAAAACCCGTTTTCTCTCGTTTTGGATAAATGGGTTGTGTGAATCCACTTTTGAGTTTCATAGCTAAATGCTTAGCAAAATGGGCGAATCCAGTCAATTTTGGTTAATCCATTCACCCGTGGTTAATCCATTCATTCTTAACGCAATACATAAATTCATTTTCTTTTTAATGCTTGAAAAACAAGGTTTGCTGATTTACAGGAAAGGAAAAGAAACACAGTTAAGAGGGTTCCCAAAAAGCAGTTTATTTTCTCCAGTTCAGATCCTAGGAGCTGCCTATCGGGGATTGTTGTTGGAGGCGCGTTCGTTTCACTCGGCCGCTGCCCTGGGATTTTGGCAAACTCCCCCAAACAATACCAGACTTTTACAGGTAAGCACAAACAGTTAAAAGTCTGGAGTGTGGTGTGGCGGGTACTTGTCCATTTGAATTCTAAAAGCCTCAGCGCTCTTCAGATAAGCCGCCTGGAAAGCCAAAGGAAATCATCAAAAACCATTAAAAAAAACCAGAAAATTAGAATATTTTGGACCTGTGATGTGACACCCGGAAAAATACAGCATAGTCACTTAATCCTCCAAGGAAAGATTGAAGGCAAACGAGGTCCAGGAAGATGATGATCATGTTTGGACAAAACACAGCAGCACTTTTTCATGCAGCTGTTGATAAAAATAAATCGCCAATATGATCGCCAACGTCCTATGACTCGTCGGCATGACTCAATGCCAAAGGCGCAGGGAATGCTGTTACCTTCCCACCAAAGGTGGTCCCTATTTTTCTACTTGCATTATTTTTACGTGCTTTCGAACTGCTAGGTTGGCAGAAGCTGGGACAAGTAATGGGAGCTCACCCCTTTACGCGGCACTAGGGATTCGAACCGCTGGCCTTTCGATCGACAAGCTCAGCATCTTAGCCACTGAGCCATCGCGTCCCTTATTAGGGTGTAGAAATAAAATTAATTCTGTTTTAAACAGAATTAACTTGAAGTAGCGTTGGCTGCTTATTTATTTATTTACTTACTTTGGTACTTATTTATTTACTTACTTACTTGTTTATTTATTTGGCAGTGCTCTGGAAATCCTCAAGGGGCCATTACTCATTCCAACACCAATTTAAAAATGAATCAGATCTACTCCTGGCTGCCACCTCCCTTACACTGTCCCTCAGTAGTTTACTTTGTGTAAGTAATTATGGGCGTTTCAAACTCTGGCTGCTTTTCTTTAAAAATGGTGATATTTCATGAGAACAGAGAGCCGTGATTCCTGGAAAATATTCTCCCAATGTGCATGCTTTCCAATTAATCCTGCAAGGGGAGAGGGTGGGATTTTAAAAGCATTATGGAAAATTATTGATTTCAATTCCCTTGGAAGTAAATCATGGCCTCCTCTAATCTGAAACCCTCTAGTTGTGTAAACTGGAACTGTTTTATAACCTTTAGCGGGATATTACACCATCAAGGAATTAACGTGCTGGCTGGGGAATTCTGGGAGATGAAGTCCACACATCTTAAAATGGCCCTAGTTGAGAAACACTGGATTAAACACAATGGGAGATCTAAGCCTTGCTGGGACATCCTCAGAAATTCTAATTGTATTTATTTCTCTTCCTGCTAAATCAGGGCGACCGTGGCCCAATCACATGACATCTACTGGACTAAGGTCAAATCCAAAGTGATCTGGAGAAGTGAGTGTCACCAGATTCCCTCTCTGAAGCCATGGGCCCCTTCCCAGGCATTCCTGCAAGATTAACTCTCTTTCTATCACTACAGGTCCTCAAGCCACATGTGGAGTGGGAACATCTGGGAGACAATTTTCCTCTGCTGTAGGAATTGCCTGGTTGGTACTGATGATTTTGCTTATATAATTGTTTTTAAAAAGGTGTAACCGAAGCAATTGTGTTATCTATTTTTACTGCCTTGAGTAGCTTTTCTCAGAATCCTATTTTTCTGCTCCCAACTTTGTAACACATTCACTGCAATGCTTGTTTTAAATATTGTTTTATTTATATTAAATGCTCTGCTAAAATAAAGAATATCATGTCATGGCTTTAGTCGATGTTCTCCAGACCCTGAAAAATAAAACACAAGGAAAAACGAAGTCAGAGGCGTCTATGTCACGATCAAACAAAATCAAAACTCCATCGGGTTTATTAAATGGGAGTTATCTCACTCCATAATCCTATCAGGAAAATTGTTTCTGAATTAAGGCAAATCGTACAATTTTTATTCTCCCAGGCACTTTTAGGATTACAAGCCTCTTTACAACTACAATTTTTTTAAAAAAAATAAAGTTTATTATTGGCTTTGCTGGTAACACAGGGGGTAATTGTACGTCTAGGATCATGCAAGTCCTTTGAAGGAAGTCATAACTTTGAATTCTGGGTCTAATTATCAATTTTTTAAAAAAATAAAACACCCTCCCCCCCAGGAAAGGAGGGGGCAGATATGAGCTCCTTCAGGATTTACCCCTTTTTATAAAGATGATGCCATGACTTTGCAATTGGGTTGCTTCTCCCAGAGAAGTTTCCTTCAAACTTACCTTAGGTCCCGTTCCGCAAACGTATTTTTCTCTTAGCAATGCTCTGTAGTCGTTATTAGTCTTTATAAGCCTTTTATCCTGAGCACCCAAAAATAAGGCAGAAGTCACGTGGAGAACAATGGGGAGTGGGAAAAGAAAGAGATAATTATTATTATTTTTTTTAAAAAAAAGATACGGTCAGACATAAGGCAAAATTGTCACGAAGAGACATTGAATAAACATCACCTATTCTGGTTCAGCCTCTACTATTCCCCAAATCAGAAACACAATGTTTGGCCTAAAATATAAGCACAGCCTAAAGCTGTAATCCCAGTCTGCAATTTCTCAAAGTCTGATCTGCGAACTCCTGGAGATCCCCCCCCAATGATCTTTCAGGGGGTTCATGAAATCAAATAGATATTTTTTTCAATATCTTTTTAAAATTCTTAATACAGTAATGCACATGCCTTTTGGAACATCCTTCCCCGATATCAGATTAGCCAGT